GTGTTAGTTACACTGTAACAAAATCAGACATCTGCTAAGATATGATGTATTTAGTTTTAAACTGTTTTAGGATAAATATAGATCCATTTCACGGCTGTCAAAGAGATATTTAAGTATAATTGTATTGAAATTTATTAGTAAATAAATAAAAATAAAAATATAGAAATTTAAAAATATTAATATTAATTAACATTAAAATACATTTACAAAAGAAAATTAAAATAAATACTTTTTAATTTTATTTTCATTTTAATTTTTAATTTTATTTAAAATAAATAAATTTTTATAAATAAATTTTAAATTTAAATTTTAATTTAAATTTTTATTTTATAAATAAATTTTTATTTTTATTTTAAAATTACAAATATTTATGCATATATTAAAAAACGATTTTTTTTTAAAAGAAATTAAATTTAATTAATTAATGAAATTTATGTAAATTAAAAAAAAATTAAAAACATATTAATTTATTTTCATAATTAAATGTGTACATTTATATATTTAAAAAAAATAATAATAATAACAATAAATAAAATAAAATTGTAATTTAGTTGTTAAAAAAAAAACAAAATAATTAATTGGTTTAACAAGTGGCTCAAAGAGAAAAGTAATAATTAAAATGTAACTCAATTATTATAGTAATAAAACAAGCAAGTTTTATATATTTATACAGGTCAACACTAAGGCTACACACTCTCTAAAGCTCGCTCTACAACTCTCTCTAATCACTCTCCTAGCTGGCTTTTTTGCATCTCTAAATTGTGAGCCACTTTAGGCTAATCGAGTGGCACTTTACACATGTCAGAGCCACAGGTCTGTGAGAGTTTTCGCCTGTTTATGTAGCGACTCAAGCGAATGTCAAGTAGAATTAAAGCGCCGGCACAATGTTGACAATGGAAACTTCAATAATTGATGCCCGCATCGGAGAGCCGTTTGCTCGTTAAGTACCTCAATATTGTAATTATGCTAGCAGCACGGCAGGCTGTAGGTGTGTGTGAGTTTGTGTGTGTGTGTGTGTGCTCGCATTTTAATTTGGTAAGCGACACAAGTGCCCTCAATGGCCCATAATTAACCCGTGAGTTCATTTGCAATGGGACTCACTGTAGTTGCCGCAGGAGCATTTCACTGCTGAGCATGACAATGGGATGCTCGTGTTGTATTTTAATTATTTATTATTATTATTCATATTGTTGTTGCTGCTCATGTTGCTGCTGCTGTTGTTGCTCCTCTGTGCCACCTGTAGTGCAGAGCGACAAAAGAACAGCTACGTGCGGCTTAAGCAGTTGCCATTAAATCCTTATCCCGAGCTTCTTTTTTTTTTAATTCATTATATGCCCTTTATGCGAGAGCTCCAGCAGCTAAAGGTGCAGCGCCAGCAACGCCATCAGCAGCCCAGCCCCACGCATAAATTATGCAAAACTTCATAAAGATTAGGCTTAGAGAAATTAAAATATGCGTACGATGGCCGTTGTAGTAGCTAGATGCAAATTACATTTAACATCCTTTAAACCAGCCACTGAGATTCGCTCAGAATTTACAATTTTAAGCTGATCTAAAAATGAAAACTATCAAATGCTAGTAAATTAACGTCGCTCTACGGTTTAGTCTGCTTTGCTTTAAGCTCTTTGTCTATTTAAAATGCATAAGGATATTATGTAGTTGTTTAATGTTTCGTGTATTAGCAGAGGGTGTATTATAATGATAATATAGTAAAATAATAATTAATTTTATTTTATTATTTTGAAAATATTCTTTGTGGAAGTTAGTATACCACGACATGTGATTGAATCTAAGCGCCAATTTGTCACTCAGAAGTGAATAGCTTAAAAGAAAGGGTAAAAGGTTTTCAAGAGACAACTCTTTTTTTTTATTTTAAAATGTTAAGTAATGAAAAATTTTTAATTTATTTTCAAAAATATATCATTTATTCATCTTACATTCAAGGCCTTAAAATATATAAAACTAATAAATCAATTAAAATATTAATTAATTGTTGCTTGTGCAAAACCTGAAGAAGCTTTGAGACCTCTATAAATATTCAAAATTTTATTTTCATTTCTATCCTTTTCAAATAACGGACTATTTTCTAGTAATACAACATTTATAATTTCAATTTAGTTTTTTATCATATCTAAGACAAGGCGCATAAAATGTGCAATATAAATCATTTCAAATTTATTCTTGGTCTCAAGAACTTAAACCATAAAACATATACTATATGTAACATATCTCAAAGCTAAGCCATATATGCATTTATTTCAACTCTAACTGCAGTTCACAACATTGTTTTGCACTTTTCCAACACTGGCAGCGGAAGGGCAATACAATAGCTGGCTTTAACTGCAGTTTTCACTGCTCTCGACATAGGCAAAGACACTCAGGTGGCATTTAATGAGCTTATCGACCTCTGTTCTCGTGCTTCGTTCACAACTTTTACCGTTGCAATTAACAATAGCATCAGAATGGAGCGCACGTAGCGCTAGACTGAGCTCAGCTGGGTCAATTTGCATGAAGTGCCGAAGGTAACAGACAGGTAAATATTGGGCTAGGCCAGTTGGAGGAGAGCAAGTAATAAACGAAATTTAATTACAACTACATATTAGTTAACTGCATAAACAAGGGACAAGTACAAAAAGCAACAACAAACAATCAATGGTTGTAATTTTGTGCAGACAGCCAAATTGGTTGGCCGGGCTGCCAGGATGCCGTCGGTACGCAGTGAAGAAGAAGAAGGTTGAAGAAGAAGAAGAAGAAGAATTCTTACGTCTCGTGGTGGTATTTTACGTTCACGTCCATATCCATATCTGGAATGGCTGTCAGTCGGGTTGCCGGCTGACAAACTTGGCCAATTTTATGCTGCTGCCGGGAAGCCCACAAAAACTGACGTTTATTACTTGCTCGCCTCTGTGGACCCAGGCAGGGCCATAAATTATTAAATTTTAACAAGTTTTTATGCTACGAACTACTGCCATGCCAAGCGGAGCTATGCCTTGTCTTGTCTCTTGTCGCCTGTCTGTACTCTCTCTCTCTCTCTCTCTCTCTTTTTTCTCTCTCTCGCTGTCAGCTTCTTGGCATCTTTGCATCTTGGACGCAAATCGAGCAACTTGGCTTAGTTTGTCAGCACTTGGCCAGTACGTGACCCAGCGACCCACGAGACAGCAGCAGCAGCAGCAGACAGGACCTTTTCCATGGCACGCTCGCCTCTATCCCTAATCATATTATTAATAGCAAATTATGAACATGGAACAACATGAAGGCGTGGCGCTTTAACTGTTGTTTACAGTGAAAACTTTAAGCCAACAACTTCATCTATTCATATATTTATGAATACTCCATTTTATTTGTTGTTTGAGAAAAATAATCAAAATAAACTTGAAACAGCTTAAAACAATTTTCGTTTATGCAATTTTGCAAACAAACTGAAAACAACTTTTGATGACACACGCACACACACACACACACACATACAGGCAAAGCTGAAAATTGTTCCGCCGGCAAAAAGTTAAATTTTGCAACTTTTCTGTTTGGCCAAAAGAAAACTTTCCACTTTTGTTCATCTCGGCTATCAGCAGAAACTACCTGTGGAGTGAATCTAATTTGGCTTGTTTTCACATTTAACTAGAAGCCAGTTACCGTTATGCCGCACACGTGGCTAACGAAACTTTTCACAAACTGTTCATAAAAATAGTAGTCAAACTACGTAAACATTTTGCTGAGCAGACGCCTTGAACAAAGACTCAACTCTCTCTCTCTCTCTCTCTCTCTGTTTCCCAAACTCTGCTCATTAGAACTTCTTCATATTGCAGTTAATTTGAACGTAATAAAATTTTATGATAAATATAAAATGTACAAATAATAGGTAGAATTTGTCATGCATTTTTAGTTGATATTTCAAATACAATACAGTATAACGGAGTTGAATAAATTATATTACAATGTGTTAAATTTATATACCCAGAACCCATTGAAAATGGGATTCTGATGAAATGTATGTAACAAGCAGAAGGAGGCGTGGCAGAACCCACAAAGTATATATATTTTTGATCAGGGCGACGACCTCAATTAGCCCGAATCACCCTCGTCCGTCTGCCTGAAAGTTTAATAAATGGTGTCATATCATTCAGCTTTCTGTCATGCAGTCTCTGTGCCTTTATCTAGAAGATCTAAACTAAAAGCATTTATATTTCTGTGAGTCATATGAATATGTTTTCTATTACGTGAGCAATGAGGATAAGCTTCATAATATGCAGTCTTTGGCATTGATGTACTTTATATCGAGTTTTTTAGCATTCAGCTTTTGTCATGCAACTCTTCACTCCAGTTTTGCCACATTCAGTAGAGGAGTTTGCCCACAGTTTCAGAGACATTCATAAAGCCACGTCGCTTATTTAGCGAGCATTTATGATGAATATTTCCAAGAGTTCCAGTCCTTGGCATTGATGCACCTTAATGAAGTTTCATAGCATTCAGCTTTTGTCAGGCAGCTGCCCTAACTCAAGTTTTAAGTTTTCTTTTTGTAATATTTACTGGAATATTTGGGCACAATTTCATAATCATTCAAAGGGTCATGCCTTTTATTTAGCGAGCAAATTCTGATCAATATTACCACAAGTTTCATAGATGTACCACCATAGATGTCCCGTCTATACCCATCGAGTGTCATATCATTCAGCTTTTGTCATGCAGCTGTCATAACTCAAGTTTTAAGTTTTCTTTTTGTCATATTCACTAGAAGAGTTGGCCCACAGTTTTAGTGGCATTCATGGGGCTATGTGTTTTTCCTGAACGAGCAAGTTATGATCAATGTTTCCACAAGTTTTATTAATGCACCTTCCATTGAGTTTCGTAGCATTCAGCTTTTGTCATGCAGCTGCCTTAACTACATTGTGGAATTTCGGTATGTATGAATACCTTTAGTATGATCCTCTTCACTTTAGTTTATTTACTCTCCCTATCCCCCTCTCTCTCTCTTTCTCTCATATTAAACAAAACTTAGCTTCGCTATGAAATTTTGACTGTTGACCTTTAATTAATTTCAAAAATACACAATTTTCATCGAATGGCCCATGACCATCATGCGATATACAAGTTACCGAACAGTTAGAAAAAAAACTCTACTTTTTCCCCTCCGAAATAAACTTGCAGACCGCATCAGTAACCTCCGAGCACTTGGAGCTGCCGCCCAGCTCCGTGGTGCGTATGTCCGTCTCCTTGTAGACCCGCTCGACCGCACAGCGAATGGTGTCCGCATATGAGTCCAGTTTGAGATGCTTTAGCATCAGCGTGGCCGAGAGTAGCATGCCCGTGGGATTGATCAGATTCATGCCAGCTATGTCGCGGGTGGGCTTCAGCAGAGTGTCGTAGAGCAGGCCTTTCTTGCTCACATAGAAGCTGGGGCAGAGCGCCTTGCCGCCCATAATGCTGGAGGCCATCACGACAAGGACATCGCCGTACATGCTGGACGAGACGAGCACATCGTTCTGGTCGGGCTGCATGACCAGGTTGAGGCAGGTGGTGTCCATGTAGCGCTCCTCGAACTTCACCTTCTCCAGGTGCTTGTGGGCCTCGGTGCGCATCGAGCTGAGAAAATTGCCATCCGTCAGCTTCATAATGTTCGCCTTGTGTGCCACCGTGATCTTCTTGCGTTTGTGCTTCAGCGCATACTGAAATACGTAACGGGCAATGCGATCGGAGCCGGCGGATGTGCTCACCTTGATCGACTGCAAGATGCCTGGAACAACGCTGTGCTCGATGCCCGAGTACTCTCCCTCCATCACATCGCGTATGACGACACAGTCCAGGGCACCGTAGCGCGACTTGTGACCCTCCAGGTTCCGGCAGAGGGTCACATAGGCATACAGCCCGAACGCCTTCCACAGATGCTTTAGGTCTCTGTTGTCGATCGGCCCCTTGATGCCCACCTTGTTGCGTTGCAGGGACTCCAGGAGTCGCGGATTCAGTTTGCCATTCTCCATGTAACAGTCCACGATATCCCAGTCCACTGGCACGTCCGTCACCTGGAAGACCTGCTTCAGAGCCGAGATCAGCTCACAGCCCACGCCGTCGCCTTCCAGCAGCGTCACCTTCTTTCGCTCCTTGCCGTCGCCCTTGCCGTTGTCCTTGCATCCGTCCTTCTCCTTCTTTTCTAGGTCATCCTTGTTGCACTTCTCGTCCTTCTTGATGGAGTCCTTGCACGTGCCGGCTGCTTTCAGTTCAGCGCATTTCTTGGACTCCTTGCAGCCCTTATTACTGCAGAGCCGCAGCAATTGTTTCGAAGTTCGGCTAACTTGACGAAAGCATCGTACAGAACACATTTTAAAATTTTGTTTAATTTCTCAAATGACAGTCAATAAATATATAAAAATCATATTACACTGCTTTTCAGGGCTGTAAGCTCAAAACATTTTCATGATCATCATGATCAGTATCCAAAATTTACCTTATTATATCAACTGCATTATATGAATATCAATATTAATTTTATACACATATATTCTCACTTCAATTATTGTAAATATTTAACAAATAAATCATTTGGATTGTAGCTATTTTTGTGAGCAATATAGATGGCTGACACTCTTGTCAAAAAGTATACAAATAAATATTTATAGAGTTCTCTTAAAATATAAAAAAAGATCCCTCAACAGATATAAGTATTTGTATATAAATATCAAGAATTATTTTTAGATAATTAATACCTTAAAAAAAGAAATTGTATACTACTACTAATACTACTTTTATTACTACTACTGTTACTAATACTACTACTTTTACTTTTATTACCACTACTGTTACTACTACTACTACTACTAATAATAATTTTATTACTACTACTGTTACTAATACTACTACTTTTACTTTTATTACCACTACTGTTACTACTACTACTACTACTAATAATAATAATTTTATTACTACTACTGTTACTAATACTAATACTTTTACTTTTATTACTACTACTGTTACTACTACAACTACTACTAATAATAATAATTTTATTACTACTACTGCTACTGCTACTACTACTACTACTACTACTACTACTACTACTACTACTGATACTACTTCTACTACTACTGTTACTACTACTACTACTATTACTACTACTACTAATAATTTTATTACTACTTCTACTACTACTGTTACTACTACTGCTTTTACTACTACTACTACTGTTACTACTACTGCTTTTACTACTACTACTACTGTTACTACTTCTACTATTACTGTTACTACTATTGCTTTTACTACTACTACTACTGTTACTACTACTACTACTACTACTTCTACTGTTAGTATCTACTACTATTAGCAGCCTTTTATTAGTTTACGTCACTTTGTATCAATGTCCTTTTCGATATCTATAGGAGATTCGAAGTATTGTACTCATATTTACATTTATCATAATAAAATTTCATGTCTGATTATATTATAGTAAATTATTTTTAATATTATTTAACATCCATCAGTAATCAACATATTAAACAGCATCCCACCTCTAATTAACCAAGGCAGTATCACTCTTGCTTGGTCAAGCTAGTCATATAAGCACATTTTGACATTGACCAGGCGTAAGATTCATAAGCTTTGCCTACAATACCATGTGCTATATTATCTTACAGCTGTGCTTTAAATTCACTTCAATTACATATTATTAATTTCATGTTACTCCAATGTTTTTTTCTTCTTCTTTCCCAAGTGCAAATACCGACAATTCAATATGTCATGGCTTGGCACAGCCCACGTAAAATGCAAATGAAGCCGGCGTCGAGTTGAGTCGCAAATGCTTCTGGCGAGGCGTGTGAATATGACAAATGACATGTCAACAGTTTTATGCCCTCGACTGTACAAGACAAATAGCTATGGGCGTGGCCGGCACACTTAACCTTCCAGTGATTTTTCAAACAACAACAGCACAAAGTAAGTGACCAAGTCATTAGCACTGATGACCATTATGAGCAGCCACAAGGCCCATAAATAAGTTAGTGGTGCTCGCTCTGTGCCCTATGGCACCTCAGTATTGGGCCAGTGTCATAAATACGCTGGCAGTACCTGTGCGCACAGGTGTAAAACAGCTGGGCGTGGCACTTGAGTTTATGTTTATTTGATGTGCTCTCATATTAAGCGCTCATAATCAAGTGAATGGCGTTGCGAACAGTGTTATGAAACGTGTCATTATTTTAATATGATGCTTTAAGCGAAATGGTATTTAATTTAGAATCAGTACTCTCTACTCTACTCTATTCAATATTTATATAGTTAAGAATTTTTTTAATAATGTTAAAAAAACGATAAATCGAAAAAATGCTTTCCACTTGAAAGAAATCGTTCTCGATAATTCTCGATAGTCCTAATCGCTGTCTAAATCAGACAAAATCTTACCTGCTTCCCATTTCAAATTGTCGTGACTCGATTGTAAATATTTTCCTTCAATCATTCCGTAATTACAATTCTAATGCATTTACCCAGCTGTTTCTTCACTCCTTAGCATCCCAAACTATTCTTGAATTACACTTAGCCAGCTGAGTGTGCCTTGCCTACAGTTTGTGTCCAGCTGAGATGTCAATAGATGTCGCCCGAACAAGCACTCAGATTGACTTGCTGCAGACAGTGGCTGCAAGTTGTTTCCGAATAGCTCTGACCCTTCGCTTCATGGTTTACTGCCCATATTCCTTTTTATGATCTGCTTCGCCTCTATCGCAGTAAGTTTTCAGCGTTTGCTGCTGCTGCACGCACTCGTTAACCTAACAAAGTACATTTAACCGACAAAGTCGTCAAGTAAAAATGTGCCAAAATTTCGAAGAAAACGAAGGAAACAACTTTAGAACAAATGTCGCAAACAATGTTGACGATGCGCGGTTATGTAACTGTATCGCACCATAAATCAATTTGTTTTCCCTTTTGTCCAGCTGAGATAAATAAATAGTAGTCTACTTTCGTGTAATCAATAATAATAATAACAATAATTTGTTTTTGTTGTTTATCAGTAAGAGGAAGAGTGTTGGAAAAAAGTTGTTACGTAACGCGTATCTTAATTGCCCTGCTATGCGATTCTCATACGTTGATGTGAGCTGCTTATGTTACGTAAGCACTTATGTAAAAGTGAAACTAGAGACAGTTGGGCGGACAAAGGAAATAGAAGACATGGGAATAGAGGACGTAGGGAGAACAAGGTAGATGAGTATATAATAATTGTCTTTTGCACTCTATTCCACCCTCTACCTTTCTCTGCGCATTTTTCTCCACTTCCAATCTCTGCGTGTCAAAGTTCGCTTTTCTTTCCCTCATTCTCTTTTCCTAATTTTCTCCCGTTTCACTTTTAATTAGTCGCGCATATATTCTAACCCTCTCCTAACTACTTTTATTATTTATTTAAATTTACGGGTAAAAAAAAGACATGCAAAGGCTGGGATCTTCTCTTGGGCACAATTAAGTTTTTATGTCTTTGTGTTTTTAATAGCATGAATTTTTAATTACATTCACGAAGTTGAGGGCCTCACTACTGCTATTTACCACTACCTTTTACTACTACTATGTACAACTGTAATTTACTACTGCTGTTTACGTACTTTACCATTACATTTTACTACTACTATTTACAACTATTATTTACTACTACTATTTACGTACTTTACCTCTACATTTTACTACTACTATTTACAAATATAATTTACTACTTTTATTTACGTGCTTTAAAAGAATGCGCCCAGTTTTTAAAGATGTCTTTAAACATTACCTATATACCACATATCATTCTACATACCAGCATGGAAAATTAGCTTAGGCTTTTCATAAATTGTGTAGCCACGTGAAAACTGTTTTATGTTGGCGAAGAATATGTCTCATAGAGCGAACAGAATCTTTGCACTTGCAAGTGCATCGCTATGGGGCTGCTGAACTAAATAACATTCAATAGGAGCAAAAAGGCAGGAGGAACAGCAGCATTCAAACATAAATGTGTATATAGAAGACAATAAGTCTGCATTTGAGTTAGTTCAAGGTCTATGCATTAAATGTTAGCAATATTAACAAATTGCTTCAGATTATTAAAGCTCTTCTAAGGGATCGTACAATATACAAGAAAGTAGTTTAAGGAGAAATTTTTGAAGTCTGGGATACTCTGCTTTTATTGATTATTATATATTTATATGATTCAATCAAACATTTGCCTGTTTCTGTTAATTATATTAAATTTACTAAATATACTATATATATAATATGGAACAGATATAGATTTTCTTTTTAAATTTTTAATTTGAAGAAATATGAATGACATTACGTGGTTTCATAAACAACTTACATATGTTAATGTTAAAAAAATTATAAAAAAAATTGAATTAAATGAAACTACAAATATGTATATATATAAAACATTAACCAATATAATTAAATTTATATTTATTCAAATTGAATAAAAATTCATTAAACTTTCAATGGGCATCGAAATGTTTTCAAAGTAAACTTTAAGCAGCTGCCAGCTGATTTGTTTGCGTAGAGTCTGGGGAGCACAGCGAACCCTTTGGCAATCTCTGGGGCTGCAATATAATGCCGGAATATACATATATATTTATATAAAGCTGCCCTTCGATGATGCTCTCCATCAGTTGATACAAAAAATTACTGTTGCATATTTGATTGTCTCGTTCAATATTTGCATATTTTTCCATTTCCTTTTCCTGTTATTCCAGTTTCTTCTTCTGCTTCTGTTTTATTTGACCCTCGTTGCTTTCTTTACCTTTTGCTGGTTTACGCTTGGCTGCCGCTGCTGTGGCTGCTGCTGCAGGTCGAGAGACTTCGATTGGAGCGTGGCCTGGCTTGGCCTGTCGAGTTATCGACTCCGCTAAGTAAGAAGAAGATTCGTTTGGCTCTCCACATAAATGCCAACCGGACGCGTCCCCTTCCGACAGCCCCGGAATTTGCATTTCTATGGCAGCAGCTGCAGCTGCAGCTGATGGAATGTTGTTCGAGTTGTTGCCTTTGCCATTCATTTTTCCCTTCCGCATTGAGCATTCACGTCATTTCCATGTCGGAGCGTGTGAAACGCTGCAGTTGATCTGCCTAGGCGCAGCCGTGGCGAATACTTGTCTAAAACCACGCTTCACCCTCAGCTGGCACACAAATGGCGCTTGTGACATGTAAATAACAAGCAGAAAGTGAGACAATCCCTGGTGTTCAATAGGTAAATACCCTGTAATTATAAATATATTATAATAAATATAAATATTTATGTAATACTAAAATTCTTTTTTTTGTATTGGTTTATTATATTATTTTATATTAATATTTTTTATAAAATATTTTTTATTTATTTATTTTTTTATTTTAATTTATTTATATATTTCTCGAAACTCTTGGGTTATATATAGTTCATT